GTGTCTGTGTTAATTGGTTTCCCTTTTCTTTGTTGAAGAGGGTCTGTGCAATCCTTCTGCCTAGTCCGCCATCTTGCCCCGCCTCTCATTACAAATAACTTTTTCAACAACATAAATGGCAGCTATACATGTGGACTTCATGAGATGTAATACACAGGAATTATATCAACTACATTTGTGTATTGAGGCAATGGAGATGCTTAATATATTCAGCCAAAACAAGGCCAAGAGCTGACTATGAACAGATCCTCAATTGCTCATATGCAAGCTCATGTTGAAGCTGAAGACAATTAAAACAACTCCACGAGAGCCAAAATATGACCATGAATATGTCCCACCTGAATTTAGAGACCATCTGAAGAACAGATTTGATGCACTGGACACCAATGACTGAAAACCAGACAAACTGTGGGATGATATCAAGAATATCATACATGAAGAAAGCAAAAAGTCATTAAAAAGACAGGAAAGGAAGAAAAGACCAAAATGGATGTCAGAAGAGACTCTGAAACTTGCTCTGCAATGGAGAGTAGCTAAAGCAAATGGAAGAAATGACAAGATAAAAGAGGTGAACAGACGATTTCAAAAAGCAGCTCAAGAAGGCAAAGTCAATTATTATAATGAAATGTGAAAAGACCTGGAGTTAGAAAACCAAAAAGGAGGAACATGCTTAGCATTTCTCAAGCATAAAAAAAAAGCAAAAATTTAATCCTCAAGTTGCAATACTGAAAGATTCTAAGGGCAAAATATTGAGTGATGCAGGAAGCATCAAAAGAAGATGGAAGGAATACATACACTCACTATACAAACAAAAAGTTGGTTGATGTTCAACTATTTCATGAAGTGGCATATGATCATGAAGGAAGAAATCGAAGCTGAACTGAAGAAACTGGTGAAAAACAAGGCTCCAGGACCTGACAGAATACCCACTGAGATGTCTCAACAAATGCATGCCACACTGGAGGCACTTACTCATCTATGCCAAAAAATTGGAAGATAGCCACCTGGCCAACTGACAGGAAGAGATCCATATATGTATCCATTCCAAAGAAAAGTGATCCAACAGAATGTGGAGATTATCAAACAATATCAGTTATATCACATGTAAGGAAAATTCTGAAAATAAATAAAAAACAATTGCAGCAGTATATTGACAGAGAACTTCCAGAAATGCAAGCTGAATTCAGAAGAGGATGTGGAATGATGGATATCATTGCTGTCAGATGGATCTTGGCTCAAAGCAAAGAATACCAGAAAGATGTTTCCTGGTGTTTATTGACTATGCAAAAGTATTCGACTGTGTGGATCATAACAAATTATGGTTAACATTGAGAAGAATGGGAATTCCAGAACACTTAATTGGGCTCATAAGGAAGACCATGACACTGTCATTCAAACAGAACAAGGGGATACTGCACGGTTTTGAATCAAGAAGGGTGTGCATCGTGGTTGTATCCTTTCACCATACTTATTCAGTCTGCATTCTGAGCAAATAATCTGAGAAGCTGAACTATATGAAGAAGAGCGTGACATCAGGATTGGAGGAAGACTCATTAACAATCTGAGATATGGAGACTACACAACTTTGCATACTGAAATTGAGGATGACTTGAAGCACTTACTAATGAAGACTGAAGACTACAGTCTGCAGTATGAATTACACCTCAATATAAAGAAAACAAAAATACTCACAACTGGACCAATAAGCAGCATCACAATAAATGGAGAAAAGATTGAAGCTGTCAAAAACTTCATATTATTTGGTTCTACAATCAATACCAATGGAAGCAGCAGTCAAGACATCAGATGATGTATTGCACTGGGAAAATCTGCTGCAAAAGACCGCTTTCAAGTGATGAAGTGCAAAGATGTCTCCTTGAAGATTAAGGTGCACCTAACCCAAGGCATGGTATTTTCATTCACCTCATATACATGTGAGGGCTGGACAATGAATAAGGAAGACTGAAGAAGAGTCGGTACTTTTGTGGTGTGGTGTTGGCAAAGAATGCTGAAAGTACCATGGTGTTCTAGTTACCTAGTGCCATTCTGACAGGAATATACCACAAATAGGATGGTCTTAACAAACAGGAGTTTATTCTCTTACAGTTCAGGAGGCTATTACAGTTCAGAAGTCCAAGTTCAAAGTGCCAGACTCTTGGTACTGTGTGAAAGCCCCTCAACCTTGGGCTTCAGTTCTGCCTCTTGCTCCCGGCCCCCTGAAGCTAGAGGCATCTCTTCACTCAGGCAGCTACTGGCTGCTGAGGCTAACAAGCCCAAGGTTGACAAATAAAATGGCACAGTCCTGGTGTTACCAAACCACACAGCAGGCCATTAATTCAAGTCCATTGTAAGTCCCAAAGTCGGCAGAGCATGGCAGGCTGCTGAACAACGACATGGCTACATGCAAGCTCCAAGCATGCCATAGGCTAGAGACCATTTCCAAAGCTATTTCTCATATATGGGAAGCTGACCACATCCCAAAGGCAGCTACTCAGCTGTTCACAGTAGATTCCACCATGGAGTTGATTACCAGTCTCATCATGGAATACTACATCCAGCTGCCCAGCCACTCAACTAGGCCCAGCCAAGTTGACACACAGACTTAACCATCATACATGGACTGCTAAAAAAAAACTAACAAATCTGTCCTGGAGGAAGTGCAGCTGGAATTCTCCTTGGAAGCAAGAATGGCCAGACTTTGTCTCACCTACTTTGGTCATGTTGTCAAAAGGAACCATTCCCTGGAGAAGGATATCAAACCTGGCAAAGAGGAAGGTCAACAACAAAACGGAAGACCCTCAACAAGATGGATTGACACGGTTGCTGCTACAATGGGCTCAGGTATAGCAAAGATTATGAGGATGGTGCACGATTGGGCTGTGTTTTGCTCTGCTATACATAGGGTCGCTATTAGTCAGTGCCAACTTGACGCATCTAACAACAACAAGAACAACAGCAACAACAACAGTTGATACTGTACCTGGATATTTTGTTTGCTTTGCATTCTCAATCTTTTCCAAGGCTCCAAACCTATTTTTCTTAGCACAACCTTTTCATAATGTTCTTTCGCTACTGCCTCCAACTGCTGATTCCTCTCAATTCTCTTCTGTTTCTCTAGTTCTTTCTGGGAAAATAAAGAAGTAAAAATAGTATGACTAAAAAGAACAAAACAAAACAAAAACCTCCCAATTATTTTAATTTCAACAAAAGCATAATGAATTAATTTGAACACGCAGCCATTAAACTATGTTAATCATGGTAATGCGCTCTGGAGTATTAAAAGAAAAGGAAACAATTCTTCCAAGAGGGTCAGAAAAAGTTCAGTCATGAGCCCTACAGTAATCACAGCTATGCATATTCCTGGATTTATTCAGTTATTCATAGAAATTACTTACCTCTCATAAAGTTACTAAAAAGTAAAATATCTAGTTAGGAAAGCAATCAGGATTCCCCCCCTCCCCAACCTCATTATTTCGGAAAACCCAGCAATGAAGCACCTTCATTTAGATTATGGGGTAGAGAAATAAATTTCAAGACACTCTATTTAAAAGTTTACAAGAATAATGTTACTACTGAGGCTCTCTCTCTCTCTCTCTCTCTCTCTCTCTCTCTCTATATATATATTTTAAAAAAAGAGTGATGAACAATAAGCCCAGAGGAAAGTGAAGAGTATCTGATAATCTTTAAGTGGCCCTCCCTCCTCTGAGGAGAGACATGAACTGTTCCTGGTGATGCACTGAGAAAAGACACCCTCTTCCCCCTCAAAGGAGAATTGCACTCATTGGGGGGTACCCAAGCACGATGACAAACATAATGATCTTGTATACAGATATCATTGTCTTTTTCTCTTTTAATGAAAATAGTCTATAATAAAGATAAGAGAAAAAAAAAATCTACCTAATGGTGAGTAGTGGCAAGTGATATTTGCTATGAAACATAAAAGAAAAAGCAAAGACTTAAAAATGGTCTCAATGCCTTTTTCTATCTGGTCCAGAACTTGTCCATCTCAGCATTTTTTTGGGAGTACATAAATAGGGGCATTTATTAATCTGTGAAACCCAATCAGTTACCCACCTGTGACATCTGGGAAGGGGTACCACAGTATTTGTTTCGGTAGGTCAATTTATGTCTGGACTTTAAGGGAACGTAGTTCCCCCAGTTCTTTTTCTCTCTGCTTTCAATTAAAGATGGCATCAGATTTTGATGCAGTTGAGTCACAATGCAGAATGCTTACCTTCCAGGAGCATTTCCTGTTCTGGTAATGGCTTTCCAGTTTAGTACTGGAGTTTCTTTGAGGCTAGCTCACAGAAATTTCTTGCTGAAGATTACAAGGATAATTGGTACATACTAATTTTTCCAATTAGTCATTCATGTCACTTTTCCCACCCTCTAGAATTTAAATTTCTTTCTCTAGGCTGCTCCTGGGAGTTGATACCATTTGTCATAGATCAGATTTAGTGTGGGTGTTTGAGTCCCTGTTCAGATGGTCTGTGATTTCCTCTTGGCTTAACCTCTGCCTATAGCCCTGGCAGACCAAATAAATGTCATCATGCCATGTGAAAAATCTCAGATGAAATAAAATTCTGAGGTATTTAAACTCCCACTTTGTCACCTTTCTAAGGGTGGGAGGCTGGCAGAGAGGTAGTGCAATGCTTGATAATTATTTGATCACAATGAAATTCCAAAGGGAGCTGTTGCTGGTTCTTAAAACCAAAATTCTTGGACACCTCAAGCTTAGAAGAGTTGATGAATTCAAAAAAGCATCAACTCTTCTTTGGTCTTCCTTATTCATTGTCCAGCCCTCACATGAATATTAGGCAACTGAAAATATCATGGCTTGGGTTAGGTGCACCTTAGTCTTAAAGGAGACATCTTTGCTTTTCATCACTTGAAAGAGGCCTTTTACAGCAGATTTGCCCAATGCAATACGCGGTCTGATGCCTTGACTGTTGCTTCCATTGATATTGATTGTAGAACCAAATACTACGAAGTCTTTGACAACTTCAATCTTTTCTCCATTTATTGTGATGCTGCTTATTGGTCCAGTTGTGAGGATTTTTGTTTTCTTTATATTGAGGTGTAATTCATACTGAAGACTGTAGTCTTCAGTCTTCATTAGTAAGTGCTTCAAGTCATCCTCACTTTCAGCACATGGAATATCCATTTTAGCTCAATTCACCCCCTCCCTCCCTATCTTAATTTTTAAAGAGAAAGAAATCCAAGCCCAAGCAGGGGTAATTTTTATTTGAAATCATGGGAGTGTGTCTGTGTGTGTGAGGTGGACATGAGTGCAGGACAATGGGCAAGTTGTATAGGTGAGCCATCCTGTTCCTTCCTGAGGCCAACATCCACATCACTGAGTACTTGGAACCAGTGCCTTTCTTTCATCTGAAAATGGGGCCCATCTCTTTCCTCTGCTACCCCAGGATTAAGCCTTAGACAAGGTGTCTCAGAAAGCCCAGGGGACATTCATTTATCAAGTGCCCATTTTAAGCATCTTTAAAATATTTTATTAAAAAAATGCCATTCCCTGTCTCAGTACCACCAATGATGCATGCCGTCCATTCTGAATGGGGAGTGGAGACTGCGAGCTAGTCTCTTGCTCTTCCCTGTGTCTTCCCTGTATGGTCGTCCTTTTACCCTCCCATCATTTCATTGTTGTGGACGGATAGCAGAGGGCACCATGTAGTCCTAGAAGATGGTCCTGAGTGATTCCATGACCACTCCCGTGTTTTAACTGTTTTCAAAACCAGAAGGTGTTGGGAAATTAAGAAAAAAGGTAAATTCTCACCAATGGTTGCTATTACAGTTAAATCAATAAAGATCTTGAGTTTAAAAAAAAAAAAAATGTTTCCAGTATGGTCAACTCATGTATTGTACATACAAAAACATTTCATTTAAGCTTCTTTTTTTTCACTTCCTACAATTGCACTTCAAGAAAAGGGCAGTGGTGAATTCGCTGATTCTGACTAATTATTTAATGTGCCTGAGACTTCTGTGAGAAAAAACAAGAGAGCACAGAACATTTCTACTTTAGAAAGGAGAGTCACTGATCTTTCAATCCAAACTACCTGTTCCTGTGAAAGTTCCCATAGAAATGTCCACATTATCTAAGCATTAAATCAAAATAACCTTTTCATCTTTATAGTATACACTTGATAGCTACTTGTTGAACTGAATGGCCAGAAATAGAAATTATGTACAGTAGTTTTCTCATGATAATAAGTAGAAGCTAAGGATTAAGTAGAAGAGGAAAACGAAGAAGCTAACTGTCCCCACATCCACTGAAATGTCCCTGTAGCATCAAGGCAGTAGCTGCAACTTGCAGATAGAACCCAATAGAGATTCAGTTTAGCCAACATAACCCTGTTCAAATGTAGACAGAAGTAATGCTCTAAGTATCCTCCTAGAATTTTAACTCTGGCATCATGGCTCTCAAAAGTACACGACTTTTTGATGACTGTGGAGAAAAATAGATTTTTTTTCAAAGTCTACTTTTCCATGGGAAAATAGAAAAATAATTTAATAAAGTAGAGCTCTATTTAAGCTAAAACACTGTACTGTTACACAGTGATGTATTCAGAGTTCATCTGTGTATTTCCTCTCTCAAGTGAAGATTCCAAAATACAGTTAGCTGCCTTTCATTAATATTTCCATATTTTCCATTTCCTTGTCTATAAAATGGGGATAATAATGCCTGCATCCAAGACTTGCTGTCAAATTACATGAGATGATGCTGTTTGCCTTGGGATAATGCTTATATTGGGGATCTATGCAGCTAAGGTTTCACAGAGCATACTTCACTCAGGCTAAAAAGGGATATAAAATCAGGATTTCTGATTTAAATTCAACAAATGGCACACAAAAATAAGACTCATTTTGAAAGTGCATCTATATCCACCACCACTGCTTTGGGAGAAAGATCAGAATTACAGCTGTGTTATGAAAAGCACAGGGCTGAGTACATAGTGTTGCAGGTTTCATTCCCTATTTTTCATTTTTTCTTAGGGAGGCTAACAGGAAACCAAAGCAGAGGAATACTGCTGAACATGACTGGAGAAAAATCACCAGACTGTGCTGACACTACTTGCCTGACATTCACGACCAGTCAACACTGGCCCGAACTTCTCTGCCCTCCTTGCATCATGAGTCTACGAGCCACCTTCCAATTGTGCTCTGGAGCTTATTACCTCTTGTCCACCCCTGTAATTTATACCCTTTGCTCTCTCCTATCATAAACTTCTCCCTCACATCTGTATGCAAACACGTGCTGATATCACTCATCTTTTTTTTTTTTTTTTTTTTAATACAGAAATTGAAAGCCACCTTCCAATTGTGCTCTGGAGCTTATTACCTCTTGTCCACCCCTGTAATTTATACCCTTTGCTCTCTCCTATCATAAACTTCTCCCTCACATCTGTATGCAAACACGTGCTGATATCACTCATCTTTTTTTTTTTTTTTTTTGTAATACAGAAATTGAAAGCCACCAACAGAAAAATCCTTTGATCCCATGTGTCCCCTTCTCAAGACATGTTATCTATACTTGTGATCTCTATATTCTCACCTCCTATTCTCTCTTCAACCCACTGGAATGGGATTCTCTTCTCACCACTCCACTGAAAGTACTCTTGTCTAAGTCATGAATGATCTCCATAGTGCCAAATCAAAGAGCCCTTTGTCTGCCCTTCTTTTAATTGAATTCTCAAGCAACATATAGCAGGGAGAGAATAATTTCTTTTAGAAGGATCAGCACAAGGCTGGTCCTTATCAGGCAGAGGTTAAAGATGTCCCAAATGTCCAACTTTTCTCCCAAGTGCTGTACCACTCCATCATCTCTAACATCAACTCCTCCTGCTCCCTTCACTATTCTCCCTCCTGTGTTCGGTTTCTGTTTTCACTGTAATATCTCACAGAACTCACAACCTGCCAAGGAAATGGGTCACAAGGTGGTGGAGACTGGGAGGCTGGAAAGTCCCACCCAATTCAGTGGGTTCTCCTCATGCACCTGGTTGCAGGGGCTGGCAAACCAAATTGGGAAGTCAGCCAACTGGCTGCTGTCTCAAGTCCAGGGGTGATGAGACAGCATCATGTCAACATCATGATGTGAGATGTTGACAAACC